TCGTCTGGGCCATCGCCAAAGTTCGTCCGTATCTGTGCGGACGCCCGTTTGCAGTCATCAAAGATAATCACGCTCTGGGCTGGCTGTCAACGCTAAGGAACCCTACTGAAAGACCCGGCCGCTGGGCATTACGACTGAAGGATTAAATGTTCTTGGTAGTGTACAAATCTGGGAAACTGCACAGTGATGCCGACTGCTTCTCCCACCACCCCGTTGAACCACCTGACTCTCCTAAATTGGAAGCTGACGCCTGTATTTTCGCCATCACAGACTTTCTGCACGTCGCAGATGAACAACGGCGAGATCCATCACTACTCTTCATCATGACCGCCTTCAAGCCGATAATTCTGACCCTTTCATCAGCATGTTCTTCTGCAAGACTGTTTTGTATCACCGAATTTTACATCCAGAGGGCTCAGAACATTTATTCATGGTCCCACATCATCTGCGCAAAGACATCTTCCTAGAGCTTCACGACCACTCATCCTCAGGGCACTTAGGCGTGACCCAAACCTACGACCGTATTGGACGGCGGTTTTTCTGGAAAGGCCTTTATCGTTTACTTCACCGCAACGTTGCAGTTTGACACCTTTGTCGGCGCCGAAAGAAACCTACGACTCCCCCTGCTATTCACATCTAACTTATCGAAGTCCCAGCTGAGCCGTTTCATCAAGTGGCATTGGACTTGCTTGGCCCTTTTCTAAGTTTTACAAATGGAAATAAGGCGTTCGCAGTAGCCACGGATTATGTCACTCGGTACGCAACCACCCGAGCACTACCAATCAGTGGCGCGACTGATGTTGTTGATTTCCTCCTGTACCACGTCATTTTTCGGCATTGCGCTCCTTTCCACCTACTCACAGATCGTGGTCGCTGCTTCCTTTGTCGGGTGGTCAATGACCTACTGCGATCCTGTGCTACTCATCACAACTTTAGCACTTCTTTTCATCCTGAGACTAAAGGGCTGACAGAACGAATAGACCACACACTGAGAGACGTAATTTCCATGAACTCTAAGGCAAAATTACCTGAAAAGGAAGTAACGAAACCCGATCGGCGCACGCGATGAACGGATAGACCGTTGAGGAGCAACCGCAGAGGGAAGCTTGCAGTGCGAAACCACTTAGTCTCTAAAGAGATGAACTACCCGGGGAATGCAGGCAGCGCAAAAAGCGTTGCCAAGGTGACTAGCCCTCCTTCTCCACAAAACACATGTCCTCCTCCTCCTCTACTGGCTCAGTCTTTCCCCGTATTTCGCTGGTGACGGTTCGTGATGCGTCGCGCTCGGAGTGCTCGACCACGGCAACCTGGATTCGACAATCTAAGAATTACGACGTGGTGCTTGTGTGTACGCTTGGATGAGTGTGGGCTGCTGCTTTTGCGTTTCGCTGCACCCATGAAGTCTGGGGCAAGCCTCGACACGTCACCAAGCCGTGCTATATATCTCTGGCTTCAAGATAGTCACGACCAACAGACGACAGCAACAGTTGGGGAGGCCAATATGGCAGCCGAGAAGTCAACAGGCCTATCGGATATATACTTCAGTCCGACTCAGGGCAGAAAACAGCGCTCGATTATAAAGCAAGTAGGTTATTATTCTTTATTCTACCTACTTGTCGCGTGTGCGATACGGATCGCGCTTGCCAGCAACGGGCTTGGTCGTGTTGTATATCGCACGCACGAAATGCATCGCGAAAGTCAGCCTCGGCGTCTGCAGTTCGCCTGTGCTTTGCGACCGCCTGGAAATTGGCCGCCATTGCCGTCGGCCTCCCGTACGCTCGCTCATCGAGTGCTCGCCTGTCTTCACCGCCACGATGAGCTCCGGGCTGACGATTATTGGGCTGAGACCTGGTCGCTGTGTTGGCAGTCGTCGAAAACACGTTGCGGGTTCTCGTAAAGAGCTTGGTTGTAGTATGTCCCGTGATGTAAGTGCACCAGCACGGGCTGGCGTGGTTTTCGCTAGCGTCGGAACTCACTGAAAATCAGTCGCCATTACAGTCGGTCGCAAGCAGCTCGGCGCCGTCCGCTGGCCGCGGCGGTGGACTCGCGTTTGCCCACTGCACTCGCTCGAGTTTGTGGAAAAGGGCCGCATTACCGTCGATTTCTTCGGCGCTAGCTCCAAACAAGGTCGGCGCTGTTCCTGGCGGCGGCGAAGCGTACGCTCGCTTTCCTGTTCGAAGTTCGCTGGTGGCAGACACTCCGCGTGCAACGCCGTGTTGGTTCTCTCGTTCGCTTGCTCGAGCTGAACGACGTTGCTCGCTTAGGACTCGCCGACTTGTTAGCGGCACGGAGATTCGCGGGGTTGTGGCTGCAGCTGCCGCTCCTAAGCTGTTGCCCTACGGGGATCGAAATGAGTCGTTAACAATGTGTGACATTACGGTGGAATTATTGGCATGTCATATCTCACGTATGTTTTCATTTCACCTTGCACGTATTTCTCATATGCATTTGTATTCATCCTCTGTGACGTGTGACTCACTATTTTACATACTTATTGTGAAGCCGTGGGCACACAGCGTGCTGAAGACTGTGTGCGCTGGCGTCTGTGATGCCTGTCATCCATCTCTTTCGTCAGAGCAGCTTCAGAAAGACTGTGCGAGATGTGAAGGTAAAGTTATTAGTGTTTCATATTTTAACGCTTGTTTTTATACTAACGTGCACGTACTTGTCATATTGGTGCATATTCATCTTCTGTCACGTGTGTCTAACTATTTTTACTATATTGTTGTACGTGCAGCCGTGGGAACACAACAGGCAGAAGGCTGCGTGCGCTGTCGTCTGCAATGCCTGTCAATATTCGCTTCCGTCGGAGGAGCTCCACAAGGAGTGAACAAGATGTGACAACGAGACTTTACTTGTACACTTCACCATGAATTCACTTCTCTACTTTTTCTACTTTTTCGCGTGTTCTTTTCTGCGCAATTTGTTGCTCACTGCACAGAAAAACAGGCGAAAAAAGTATTAGGCCTGGCGGAAAACAAACAAAAAACAATGTTTGAACTGGGGACAAAAAGTTCATCCGATTGGGGTATTTCAGTGGATCAACCGTTCGTTCGGCAGGTGCAACTGTGAGGACTACCGGTTGCCCGGTAATGTGTAAATGTGAAGATTAACAGTTGCTCTATAAGGTGCAAACGTGAGAACTAAATGTTAGTTTTTTGAGGTGAATTGTTAGACTAACGGTTACTCACTAAGGTGTAAGTGTCAGGACTAAATGTTAGTCCCTTGAGCTCATCTGTGTGGACAATTTGTTAGACCCGGTGCCATTAGTCCTTAAAGAGATTATTGGTTGTGGCAGCCCCATTAGTCCCCAAAAGGACGAACCACACACCCTTTTAACACCCTTTTGCCTGAGAGTGTACGTTTCAGACGATCACACCGTTTGGGACATTGCACTCTCATTTGTAACCTTTGCTTATAACTCATCGCGCTACAAAACTGCCGGCTATGCGCCCGTTTATCTACTTTTTGGGCGTGAACCTTCGTTGCCTTTTGTTTGATGCTTTCATTTGTTCCGAAATTCACCACTTTATACGCTCAAGATGCTATCACCCGAGCTTTCATCGCACGCACGGTAGCCCGCACTCGGATCTTACTGTCCCAGGCTGCACAAAAGAACCTGTATGATGGCCAACAAAGGGAAGGTAATTTTCCTCTGGCCTTTCTGGTCCTTCTGTAGCTCTCATCTTGTAGTGTTGCCCTCAGCGAGAAGCTTCTACCGCACTACGTTAGACCTTACAAAGTTGTGCACCAGGTGATACCTGTCACATATGAGATTTCCCCGACAACCAAATCTGTTAATCTATTTCACTACTACTCTCGGAACCGACATAGTGAATGTCTCACGTCTGAAGGCCTACAATGATGACGCGCCCTTTTAGACATAGCTGGCACCGAGACGGTTTTTTACAAGCCGTGGTAATGTGATGGATGTTGAAATACCCCTCTGAATTAGCCACTGAAAGAGCACCTATAGGAAGAAGACGACGACGCTGTTGTTGTGCAGCTCGGTCTGGGTTGTCCTGTTCACAGTCATTTTGGGCAGCCTGCACACTGTGATCCCGGGCTGGTACTGACTCAGGACCCCTAAATAAATACTCCCCGTGAAAAAATCGCTACATGCATGTTGACATTTTGGGACGATGCGCGTGTGTGCCTGACGAAAAGGACAAAAGGTGGTCTCCACTTGGTGTCTGGTATGTACTTTCTTTGAAGGCTTTGTCCCTGGGGTTCACTGACGGGAAAGTTCCCGATGCCTTGCAGGAGTTTATCAAATCTTCATAAAGATCTAGACTGTACAACCAATTATTACTCCTAAAGTACCTTTTTTTCAAATTGGTTTATTCATTCATTTACCTATTGTTGCTGGTGAAACCATCTGCTTCATTTTCTGTATTCGTTATTTCTAGTTTTCTATTTCTCAAATAAATTTCGCCCCTTTTCAATAGTTTAAAATCATGGGCTAACAAATTAACAGTATTACGTCAACCTACCCGGTTCTTTTCCAATCCCCCGCGTGGGTGCATGCCACATTTTCCGGGCAATTCTTTCCTTCCTTCCAACCAGTCACAGCACTGCTGCTTGTTTGAAATATTTTTCATTCACAACCTTATCGATACGGCGTCGCTTCTCTTCCATAGCATATTGATGCTAACCATGTGGCAGGCACATTTCTGAGATTTCACTCGTGGTCTGCAGGCGTGGGGGTGCAGGTATGTAGAAAAAAATGAAAATCAGAGAGAGCAAGAGTGCGAGAAACGTTTTCAACGTCTTCAAAGAAGACTTGAATTTTGTTTCGTGCAAGTAATTTTGCTAGGTACGGTGTGCCTTGTTGACCCAATCACATTAAGTGGAAAACCGGTAATCGTCGAGAATCGCGTATTCCAAGACAGGTGCAATGCGCGCTGCGTAACAACTTTGAGACACTCTAATATAAGGTTCAAGTGTATGCAGAAGCTACAAGAAGTAAACACTTAGCCTAAAAAAAAAACACTACTCACCCGTCCATGTTGAACTGCCAATAAGCTTTTTTAGTCACCGGTAGGTAGGTGATATCGCCCTTGTAGTGCGCTTCGTCGATGCCACCAAAAAGCACTTCGCCTCCATTTGGGTCCTCTGCGTTGCGGTCGAGATAAAAACAAAACACAGGTTTCTCCGCTACGCCTTGATCCAACATGAGATCGAAAACGGGCGGTACATTGAGGACTGCCATCTGCGGGTAACCCAAGCCCAGTACACCATCAAACTTTCCTGCGGCGAAGCTTTCGCCGTCCTCCTCTGTGATCTCGGCGAAAGTCTGGCCCTTGACTTTCACGTTGCCCAAGCCAAAAGTATCTGAGCTCAGTTCGCCCTTCACGCTGCCGCTGCCGTACTCAATTTCGAAGTGGGTGCCATTCTTGACGTAAGTACTGGACTCATTGCTGTAGTACTTGTGGTGTACGCCTGGGTACAGGGAGAAAAGAGAAGGAAAACAAGTTACAGTATGCCGTATTGAATTCTCTGCACGGTGATCGCGATTCTCGGCAAAATATCAATGCTGAGTTTTAGGGGCGAAGCTCCTTATGGCGTGGCTTGGGCGTCCCTCGTATGTAACCACCAGTGGCACATACCCGAAATAGGTATAACACTTGACCTCCAAGGTGGTGCCAGTGAGAGATTTCTTCTGTGCGTTGTTTAACAATAAAAAATAGTGCTCAATGTACATGCCAATGGCTGCTAATGGGGAATGAGAGACATGAGCATTCGGCTTTTTGTCAACGCGCACGCTGCGATCCCCATGAGCAGCCATTGGCATGTACATTGAGCACTATCGGACAAGAAAGGGATGCTACATTATACTCGCTGGGTGTAACCTCCTTAGCTTTAGAAAGGTTTAGCGAGCGTTGAGCCGCAGTGCCATGAATACAATGAACTTGTATATACCATGAATGAACTCAAGGTGGTTAAAAATGAGAAGTAGATACGAAGCGCAAGCCGTAAGAAAGTAAAAGCCAGATTCTCCTGTCTCTCATTTCTCATTAGCAGCCATTGGCATGTAAATTGAGCCCTATCTGACAGGGAAAGGTTGCTACGTTATACTCGCTGGGCGTAACCTCCTTGGTTTTCCAAAGGTTTAGCGAGCGTTTGGTCGCAGTGCCATGAATACAGTGAACTAGAATATACCATGAACTCGAGGTGGTTAAAGGTGGGAAGTGGACCCAAAGCACAGGCCGTAAGAAAGTGTGCGTGTGCCACCTCTCGTTTAGTCCTTGGAATGTCCGCTGAATGGCGGTGCTTCTATATGGGGAATATATGATAAAAAGATGCGAGATGGTGGCACTTGGAGTGTTGAATAGATGAACGAACGGACACACAAACAGATGCATGGATAGACGCATGAACGGACGCAGGGGCGGATGCATGAAAGAACGCAGGGTCGGGCGCGCAAACAGACGCATGAACGGTCACACAGACAGACGCATGGACGGACGAATGCTTCGCCCCACTCTCCATCATTCACTCCGTGGATATGCTGCCATTTTTTTTGTCTTACTAAGATTCCGTGAAATGAAGACCAGAAACTATAAGAGAGAGAGAGAGAGAGAGAGAGAGAGAGAGAGAGAGAGAGAGAGAGAGGTTTATTTACAGAAAGGCAGAGAGGTCGGCCTGAGTGAAAGCTTGCTCTAGCCTGGTACTTTACACTGGGGGAGGGGAAAGGAGAGAAGGAAGACTAATGGATGTTGTTGGTGAGATAGAGAGGTGAGTATATATAATTCTTTCTAGCTGAGAAAAAATGTCATAGCGACGCATATAGTCAAGTTGCTTCCGAAATAGTTATAACCGCTCTTATGACCACAGTTGCACTGTTGGTGTCTGGCCAAGGGCCCAACACGGTCTCATAAGTTAATGACCTGCTGTGATATTGTTCAGTAGAAAAAATCAGTGTTTGTCAATCACGTGCGTATGCTGGGCACACACACGATATGTGCTTAGTGTTTCTGGCACATCACAGTGTTCACAATTAGGACCGGTGTCACTGCGACCGATGATATGTCTGTAACGTCTGGTGTACGCCACACCAAGACGAATGAGGTGAATCGCACTGGCGAGTTGCCGTTTCAATTTAGGGAGATTGCGGAACCTCATTTCCGAGTCCCATTTGTAAAGTCACCGGTGTCGCCGTTCCGGTTTGGTCCAGTGCTGAAGTGTGTAGCTGCGCATCACACAGCAAAGCAGGGCGTTCGTGTCAGCTCGTGAAAAGCAGTGTGTACTACAGGGGCACTGGTTAAGGCATTTTTAGCTTCAGCGTCTGCCTCTTCGTTTCCCATCACGCCGCAATGTGCGGGAATCCACTGGAAAGTGATAAAATGGCCATTTATTGAAGCAACTTGAACAAGTTCTGCGATTTCTATTGCCAAGATGTAATTCGGACCTTCCTTACAAACCATTAAACTCAGCGGTGCGTTATGTGGCCGTGTGCCAATTGCAAATTTTTAGTGCGCGGCATCCAAAACTATATTACCGCCTGTATGAAGCTTATGTAATGATTTATTCTGTAGAGTATACATTGAATAGAACTAAATCTACAAGCGCCACATTTTCATTTCATCACTGATAATAAAATTAGACAAAATATTACTGCCAGCCTCACATTACGGTACTGCGTCGACCTTGCACGTTTTCGCACCGCTTTCCTACGGGGCCTCAATATTCGTTTGTTGTGTTTCATGTAACAAATAAAGCAGAAAGACTGCCAATATATTCTTGTATTAGCGACACCTCTTCTTTATTTGAAATTCAAAATACAGCTGCTGATTATAGCACATTTTGTCTGAGGTCATTACATCGTCCTCATTTTTTCACTCTTTTTAAATGCGAAGCATTTCTTGATGAAGTTCGCCTGCTTTGAGCGTACCTACCTACCTACCTACCTACCTACCTACCTACCTACCTACCTACCTACCTACCTACCTACCTACCTACCTACCTACCTACCTACCTACCTACCTACCTACCTACCTACCTACCTACCTATCTATCTATCTATCTATCTATCTATCTATCTATCTATCTATCTATCTATCTATCTATCTATCTATCTATCTATCTATCTATCTATCTATCTATCTATCTATCTATCTATCTATCTATCCGCCTATGACTTTTAGTTCTCCTGGTCGTTTCGTTAATGGTATCAGTACCAAACTTGGTATAGCATAACATGGCTGTATAACGAGCATAAATGACTAGTTACAACATGACTTTCTTGACAAGTATGTCATGAAAGTCATGATTTACAATTCATTGTCTTGTTGCTCTTGCAGTGGTTTCGTTCACATATCTTACAAAACTTGTATGGTATGACATGACTGCATGGCGAAACAAGTGACAGACCCTAACGTGGAAATCATGACATGCATGTCATTCAAGGCATGACTACACACCACGCTCATGATGCGCTCGTAGCCGTCTCGCTAGCTTCACATATATCAAATGTGGAACTACATGACGTCAATAGACAACAAAGTTAACTGACACGTCCGAACATGGTAATCATGATATGCGTGTCATGTAAAAAATGATACATGCTACGCTCATAGCGTGCTCGCGGCCGTTTCACTAGTTGCAGATATACCAAATTTAGTTTACGTGACGTGAATGACTGACGAAGGTAAAGGACACATCCAAACACAATAATCATGACATGCGTGTCATGTAAAACTGGACTACATGCTACGCTCATGGCACGCTCGCGGCCGTTTCGCTAGCTCCACATATACCAAATTTGGTATCAGTTGGCGTGAATAGATGATGAAGGTAAATGACACGTCAAAACATGCTAATTTTGCCAAAGTCATGAACGACATAATTTACACCCGCCTCGTAACGTTGTGCTAATTTGAAACTGACATAAACCTTCCTCATTTGTACTGCATATCATTGATTCCCACTGTACGTGGGATCTGCGAATTTTTAAACTAATATTCTGATTTTTGTTGGTGTTATTGTTTATTCTGTTTCTGCTGGTAGTGTTATTTCAGTTTCTATCTATTTCATTCCTTCCTCTTTCAGTGACAATTTCTCACAAATCACTTTCGACCGTCCTATTCTTAGTAGATCCGAATTATCAGATATACCATAAATACTACAAATATTAGCCATATAAATGCAGAAAATCATCATTAGGCCTACTCTGCTCTAAATTTTCTGAACATTACGTAGCATGTGCAAGACTTGCATTGCTTCCTGACGAGAGATGCCACACATCATATGTCTGTCGTATATTCTAGTTCACCATTGAGTTGTACTCCTCAAGTACTCAGTACGCGTATAGGCACAAAATCCAACTTTCGTTGTCTCGCCTACCAGAATCAGGTCACAAGATGTTTAGTTCGCAGTAGCTAACCTGCGTTTTGAAACTACGGAGGTTTATCTATTCCGCAGCTGCGAGGAGCATCTACGCAAGAATAGTAGTTTAGAGGATGCTTTTTTAGGCATCAAAAATATTCAAGCAAGGGTGAAAATGATGCTTTGTTAGCCCACCTGATGTCTCATGTAAAAGAAAATAACAGTACTCACGGCATGCGGCACTGCTCGGTGGGCACCGGCTGGAAGGCACCCATAAGTTCGATGAGCCAGTGTCGAAGATGACTGCGAAGACTTGAGGTGGGGTGCCCAAAGTGATGTTGCCATAGTACTGGACCTGTACCACATTAGACAAGATGATGATATTAGTCGCGTTCTTTTTTTGTTTAAAAAAGTTTGAATTGGTGGCAAAACCGTTAGTTCCACATTTTGTACGGAAGGCTGTAGAATAGAACGTGTAAGTGGTGCAGCTTTGGCATTGCGTAAGCTGACAATAAAAAAACGACAATGATACCGTAGGGTCACCCTTAGAATGAAGTGTACAATGAGAGCGCATGAGCCGAGTTGGCAAGAGAAGGGGACGTGGTTTTTCTTTGAAGTGCCAAGCCCGCATTAAACAGGCATGGGGAAAATGCATTTTTCTACTGAAAATGCCTGCCCCAACCATTTGTCAGCACGCTCACTCCCCAAAATGCCTCAAATCTACATTGCAGTAGTAAATATGCATATCTCAGTAGCGCCACTACTCAGGAGACACATTTTTATACCGCTAATGTAGGTAACACACTCAGTGTGGCTATGTTTGATTGAAACATCTTATTTGACCTTGAAGTGGCTAATAAAAATGTCCATATCGCAGCGCGTGAACGATGCCGCAAAGCTATGCGTCAAAGGTGGCACGACTGAGTTGCTTTATTTGGTACCACGCTGAGTTTCATGGGTATATGGGTGGTGACTAGATTTGTAGAGTGTCTGGTACTCTCCGGCAACAGGCGCACCTTGCTAGAAAGTCGGCAGCATTTGCTTATTCTCGGCATGAACTGAAGACCTCATAAAAATGCTTCATTTCGTATTATCTGTTTTTTACGCAGCACTGTTTGAGTGAACTTCTCAATATTAAATACCCGTGTCCGCAGTTTATTCACTTTCATTATTTTATATGCGTAATATATGATCTCGGAACAAAATAGGCAACAAATTGTGGTGGAAAACTTAAAACCATGGTAGAACTGAGAGGCAGAAAAGAACATTAAATGTTGCCTCTTAGTCCTACGCTAGCTATGCGCTCAGTTCATTTCAAAAATGGGTAGCATAAAGATCGGTTTCTATTCGTAACTGCTTTTTTTGTAGTACTCATCAAAACGACAAATGGGCGCGTTTTGATTCGATTTTTTATATTACAGCGTTTAAATGCATTTAACCTTTCTGTGAAATGTAACACATTCTCATTGTTTGGCGATCGGCTGTTTCAGCGAAAATCTCTCATATAATTTGTTAGGCATGTGCAGGGAATGACCTATCTTTGCAGCTGCCATGACAATCAAAATGTCATACTGGCCAAATGAAGAATGAGCTTGTTGTTTTTATTAGCTATTTTACTAGCATGTGTTGCCACAATTCTGAAGTTGCTCTCTATACAGTTTTATAACCAGCACTTGCCTGCTTGTTAGCGTAACAGGTGCCTCTAAATCTTCATCTTCATACACTTGTATACATGATCAACCTCAAAGGACTGACATTCACATGATGCAATCGGTTAAGTACGTTTCATCACCACATTTATTCATTTCTTTCATTGTTAAGAAAACGGTTTGGCGAGAACGAGGTATTATAGCAATATATGAATGCATGTTGTCCAGCGCAAAACTATATGTTTCCTTCATTTAGCAAATATTGCACGCTGCAGCAATATGTAGGAAACCCCAGGTGAGTTTACCCATGAACGGCACCATGCAGAAAATAGATTTTTCTTCAGAACGTTGGCACACGTGATATTCATGGCGCGTTACCACGATCATTACTCAGTTGTTAGGAGAATTCTGTATTTTTTGGCTTGTCTTTTCTCTTATTTGTCAGATACTGCTCAAGTCTATATTACGTGGTTCCAGCAAATACATTTTTTAAGACAGTACCACTGTCTCTTTCTTTTCTTGTCCCTCTTTATTGGCGCTGTTTTCATGTGAATAATTGTGAGTGCTGTATGTACACAGGCACAAATAAAAAAGGAAAAGCTTCTCCGTGGTCGTTGTGCACTCCGCTGTAGGCAGTCAATGTACAATGGTTTCTTTCCCACGCAGAGTAGCAAGTTAGGGACATACACACGCCGGCTAAATTCTCTGCTTTTCAATAAAGAGCTCTATCTCTCTCTTTCTTGTCACAATGGCCTGAGTTCGTAATGTCGGCCATCCCAGTGTGGGAAATCTAGGCGTTGGCAAACGCAATGCCTAACCTCAACCTACCCAGCAAAAGGGTAAAAGGGAGAGAAAGAGAATAAAATGAGAGAATGGCAGGGAGGTTACCCAGAAATTGAAGCATCTGATTTGCCACCCTGCACTAAGGGAAGGTAGAAAGGATATTAAAAAAAGCGAGGAGCAAAGTATACGCCCGAAAAAGAAAAGCACAAAAAGTGAGCTAGGTTGCTATAGACTATTCAATAGGCCAATACCACGCAAAAAGTTCAATAAGACCTTCACTGATTATGTGTGCGAAGACAGATTCTGTCGTCTTTCAAGCACTGACTGTTTTGACAAGGGTCTGTCGTCAAGGCAAGCTAACGCAGCAGATAGCTGGCCTCTTTGCATGCTGTAACGAGGCCAGTGACAGAGGACGTGCTCTATCGTCTTATTGCTCCCTAAATGATCGCAAGCAGCCCTGAGAGGCTAAAACATTTCCATGCTCCCCTGAACTAACGTTGATAGATCGCCCTAACTGAGCAATGTAGTGCTTATCAAAATGTATTGCTTATCAAAGCATTTCAGCCTTCATTGGAAAGGCAGCCGCCGCCGCCGTGATTCGATCCTGTGCCCTGCGGGTCAGCAGCCAAGTATCTTAGCCACTAGACCACCATGGTAGGGCTGCTTATCAAAACTAAGAAGGATGCTGCCCATAACGCACGTGTCCCACGCGCAGTAATTCTTGACATGTTTGATGTCATCCTTGCTCTACCGAGCGGCGAAACCCTCTCACACAAACTAGCATGCCTGCTTTATGCAGAAAAGGCCAGTCTATTACAATTTCTCGCTGCAAACTTCTTTCAAAACTTGTCGCATCGTGTTTCTCTTCCCATCGAAAATCGAAACAGTGGCTCCAGCGCCACTGGTTATGCCTCCTGTTTGAACAGATATTTCAAAATCAGTTGCCCGATTGCGGCTTCCATGATTCATGGTGCTTTCATGGTTCCTATAGTCTTGCGTTCAACGCGCTTTATGTTTGGCCTCACGAGCTACTTATCCTTTCAGATTCAAGAGTGACTTATTCACGTCTACGAGGAAATTGAAACGAGCGCATTTTTTCCAGATAAAAAATGAAATTCAAGTTCCTCAACTTTGGCCAAGCACTTGTGTAGTTCTTATATATTTTCACGCTTTATTTGAAAAAAAAAACTGTTAGATAGGGTATCTTGGAAGCTTCGTGGGTCTTGGGGAGTTTCAACGCTGTTACGTTCCACAAAAAGTGGGTTGACTGTAGTGCTTATGAGCTTGCGAAAGGATTGTCCGGCTATGGATGTGAAGACAAGTCATATAAGCCAGAATGTGCAGACCTATATGTGTCTGCAACAGCTTATAAGTGGGAGGCTCTGCACCAACAAGGCCTATCTTGGCTAATCGCTCACGAAAGCTATCTGTTACGAGCCCCGTATTTCCGAAACTTGTCCGGGTACAATACAAGCCCTGTGATAAAAGGCCGTGTACCATCTCTGCAAATATGTAATACACGCACGCTTGCGCCTTTTTCCCCTTAACGCTAACGCTTATATTTGTGCTCACATGAAACAAATACAAACGCACCCTGTATAATAATAATAATAATAATAATAATAATAATAATAATAATAATAATAATAATAATAATAATAATAATAATAATAATAATAATAATAATTATAATAACAGGTCCTTTATCTTTCATCATGCGTAGGATCAGGGAGCTGGGGACGAAAAGCTGACGAGCATATTGACTAGCTCCGACCCCCCCCCCCCCCCCTCGAATGTACACTTCGGCACATTTACAGATGACTGTGCCGAACACAAAAGAAGAACCAAAAAGTGACTTCCAGAAAGACGAAGTGATAGGCAATAAAACAGTTTACGTAAAAAGGGCAGCGAGAAAACCAAGTGGAACTTAGGAATAGTACAATGCAATTTCATTGAAAACATCATGTAATCACACACTGCAACACTTCGTAACATATAGCCATTCACTTCTTTGCTCTATTCTGCCACCAACAAAAAAGGTCATTTTGGGCATAGATTTCCCGCAAGAATGTGGAGCAATAATTAGTCTGCGTGATTTGTTCGTTAGTTTTGCTGTGTTTCTCCAGATTCCGACATCGAGAACGAAGATTGTGGCGTGGCCTTACGCGTAGTTGATGATTGCGTCACGTTGCCACCTCGCAGTAGTATCTTCGTGCTTGATGAGTGTCCACGGGAGCAGTCAATTATGGGCATCGCCGAAGTTACCTGACGTTATTGCTTGATCGAGAAGTCGCCATGGCTCGAAGTCTTCTCCGAAATGGCCAGAGTATACTCTTACTTACGAACTTCAGTGGAGAGTAATGGCATTTTGCGAAACTCACAACCGTAGCTTATTTGGAGGGATTGGATGATTTGGACGCCTTCCCTTTGATTACGACGACCTCGACTGATAGCAGCTGCGATACTGACGTGACAAGTGGCCTCATCGTCAATCGACAGTTAAAACAACCTAGGAGGGCAAGGTTTTTCAGTCGCCTGTCATCCTTTGGTGACTGTTTTGCCAAAACGTCGAAAGTCCGGCCGACCCTCCAATGAAACACAGAATTATCACTGAGCCCAACGTCCAACTAGTGCGCCAACACGCTTACCGCGTGTCGCAGAAGTAGAAAGATGCCATCCATCGTCAAGTGAAACAAATGCTCGACGACGACTTAATTCAATGACACGTCCGTTACTTCTCTTCCATGGATCTCCGTAGAAGATATTGGCAGGTTGAAATAGATAAACGAGACCGAGAAAAAACAGCGTTTATTACACCTGACGGTCTTTATGAATTCAAAGTTCTCCCTTTTGGTCGTTGCTCCGCTCCAGCCACATTCCAACAAATGATGGACACAGTTTTATGTGACCTGAAGTGGTTCTC